ATGTAACACCTAAATAAGTAGTAGTAATTTGGACAGTTTCAAAGTTATATTTTATTGCAATTAACTATTAACCCCAAAATTTTGTTGCATGTTTTTGGTTATAAACATAGTGTTGAGTTCCTATTGAATAGTAATTTGATTGTAGTTACCCAATAGTTTTACTAAAAGTAGTTTTTCTTTTGTACCCTAATTACCACATAGTTACATTTAATTACTTTTCTTACCTTGTAATTACATGGCAATAAGTTACATTTAATTACTTTTCTTACCTTGTAATTACATGGTAATAAGGTAGTAATTACATTTAGTTACTTTTATTACCTTTTAATTACATGGTAATAAGGTAGTAATTACATTTAATTACTTTTATTACCGTGTAATCACATGGTAATAAGGTAGTAATTACATTTAATTACTTTTATTACCTTGTAATTACATGGTAATAAGGTAGTAATTACATTTAATCACTTTTTATTACCTTGTAATTGCATGGCAATAATGTAGTAATTACATTTATTTACTTTTATTACTTGTAATTACATGGTAATAAGATAGTAATTACATTTAATTACTGTTATTACCTTGTAATTACATGGTAATAAGGTAGTAATTACATTTAATTACTTTTTATTACCTTGTAATTACATGGTAATAAGGTAGTAATTACATTTAATTACTTTTTATTACCTTGTAATTACATGGTAATAAGGTAGTAATTACATTTAATTATCTTTTTATTACCTTGTAATTACATGGTAATAAGGTAGTAATTACATTTAATTACCTTTTTATTACCTTGTAATTACATGGTAATAAGGAAGTAATTTTATTTAATTATCTTTTTTATTACCTTGTAATTACATGGTAATAAGAGTACTGTAAAATAAAGCGTTATCAATAAAACTAATATTTTTATGTTATGTTTTGTAYAGAGGAGCTGGCGACTTACAGTATAAACAGAAGAACCGACACCCAGAATTACAAAACAAACAGTTTTTTAATTAAATTAAATTTAGTCAGTCATTAAAACAAACAAAAGAGAAATCTGTATGCAATAAAAAACAAGTCGAAAATGAAACTTTTTTTGTTCCAAATGATTCTTTTCCAGTCTGGAATTATGTTTAATTTATTTAGATTTTGTGTTCATGGAGTGATATTGGTGATAACATAAATCAAATTAAACGATCATATTTTTTTCCCTCAGAGGTTTGAAGGACATGGAGCAGGACTCGTCCTCCATGGAGAAACGTTTTTCCTACAAGTTCCTGAAGAGGCTACTGAAATGTGTCGATTCAGCTCAGGAGTTCATCGCTCATCTCGGTGAGTCGGCTGCACCTGGTGCTAAAAGTTCAGCCCATCATCATCATCATCATCATCCTCACCACCGTGACGTGTGTTTTTGTCCTGGCAGAGGCCATGGCCACCAGTGGGAAGACTGATAAGTCGCCTCACGACCAGGAAATCAAGTTCTTTGCCAAGGTTGGGACTGTTTATCAGAGTGAAGCTGCTTTTTTATATAACAGTGAGGTTAATGTAAAGATTCTCTGTTTCTCCTCTTTAGGTGTTGCTTCCATTGATGGATCAGACGTTTAAGAACCACTGCCTCTACTTCCTGTCCACACCCAGTAAGAACCTGAGCAGCTGTGGCTGCGCCTCCAACAAAGAGAAGGAGATGGTCACCAGGTACTCAGTCCAGCTGGAGTTTCATGGTTCTCCTGTGACTCACGTATTCCTAAACCTTTTCTCTCAGCTTTTCCTCAGTTCTGTCCTTACTTCCTTCTTTTTTCCAGTCTGTTCTGTAAGATGGCAGCTCTTGTTAGACACAGGATTTCTCTCTTTGGTAAGGCGGGCCTTACCTGTGTCACTGTGATCCTTTTAGTTTGGTATCTGCAGTAAACAAAACGTCTTTATTCCAGGGAGTGACTCTGCAGTGATGGTGAGCTGTCTGCACATCCTCTCTCACTCGCTCGACACCAGGTACGTACACTTTACTCACTGCCGGCAGCAGCGGAGCTCAGGTGGTCCTAATGTCAACTTCCTGTCCGCTCAGGACAGTGATGAAGTCCGGCGCAGAGCTGGTCAAGGTCGGGTTCAAGTCCTTCTTTGAGAACGCAGCTGAGGACCTGGAGAAGCTGGTGGAGATGCTGAAGCTGGGGAAGTTCATGCAGTCTCGTGCTCAGCTGAAGAGCGTCACTCAGAGCATCAACTATGTGACGGTGGCTCTGCTGCCCATCCTCACCGCCCTGTTCGAACACATCACCATCCACCAGTTCGCCGTGGATTTGCTTCGTAAGCTGATTTCTGCTTTGGCTTTTCAAAATCAGATATCAGTAATGTTTAACTCTGTTAATATGTTAAACATATGTTCACAAATCACACTCTGACCGTAATGTTCTCTCTTTTATTATTATAGTGGATGATGTGCAGCTGTCCTGCTATCGAATCCTGATGTGTTTCTACAGCCTGGGAACTGGAAAGAATGTCTTTGTGGAGAGGTACGAGTCAAACTCAGCCGTGCATCATCTGCATCACGTGTGCCTACCCACGAGTCATTTAGCTGTGTTTGTGACAAATACAGGCAGATTTTTAAGTAACTCACTTGTTTTACTGAATTGTGTAATTGATTTGCTTGACTTTGCTACTTTTAGCTTGGCTTTTGCTACTTTTGGCTTGGCTTTTGCTACTTTTAGCTTGGCTTTTTCTTCTTTTAGCTTGGCCTTTTCTGCTTTTAGCTTGGCTACTTTTAGCTTGGCCTTTTTTACTTTTAGCTTGGCTTTTGCTACTTTTAGCTTGGCTTTTGCTACTTTTAGTTTGGATTTTTCTACTTTTAGTTTGACTTTTGCTACTTTTAGCTTGGCTTTTGCTACTTTTAGCTTGGCTTTTGCTACTTTTAGCTTGCCTTTTGCTACTTTTAGCTTGGATTTTGCTACTTTTAGCTTTTGGCTTTTGCTACTTTTAGCTTGGCTTTTGCTACTTTTAGCTTGGCTTTTGCTACTTTTAGCCTGGCTTTTGCTACTTTTAGCTTGGCTTTTGATACTTTTAGCTTGGCTTTTGATACTTTTAGCTAGGCTTTGCCACTTTTAGCTTGGCTTTTGCCATTTTTAGCTCGGCTTTGCCACTTTTAGTTCTGTTTTGCCACTTTTAGCTTGCTTTTTGCTACTTTTAGCTTGGCTTTTGCTACTTTTAGCTTGGCTTTTGCTATTTTAGCCTGGCTTTTGCTACTTTTAGCCTGGCTTTTGCTACTTTTAGCTTGGCTTTTGATACTTTTAGCTAGGCTTTGCCACTTTTAGCTTGGCTTTTGCCACTTTTAGCTTGGCTTTGCCACTTTTAGCTCGGCTTTGCCACTTTTAGTTCTGCTTTTCCATTTTTAGCTTGCCTTTTGCTGCTTTTAGCTTGGATTTTGCTACTTTAAACTTGACTTTTGCTACTTTTAACTTGGCTTTTGCTATTTTTAGCTGGCTTTTGCTACTTTTATTGTTAGCTTTCAGTTAGCATTTAGCTAATTTTGTGTTTTAGTAATTGTTCTGCTTCTTTTAGATTTAATAACACAGTTTTAGCTTCTGAAGCAAAGTCGTTCAACACTCTTTTCTCTATTTGATTATAAATGAGTGGATCATAAATTGTATAATTTTTTTCAGGCATCTTCCAGCGCTGGGGGAGAGTCTGGCCATCCTGGTGGGAGCCATGCCCGTGGCGTTTCTGGAGCCTCACCTGAACGCCCACAACCCACTCTCAGTCTTTAACACCAAGACCCCTCGAGAGCGAGCCAGTGAGTGTCCAGCTTTGATTGACGTCACAATGATTAGGGCCAGAGTGACCRGTGTCTGTTTTCCTCGCAGTCCTCAGTATGCCCGACACGGTGGAAGAGATGTGTCCAGAGATGCCTCGGCTCGACAAGCTGCTCAAAGACGTCAACGACGTCTCAGAGTCCGGTGCGCGTTACAGCGACATGCCGCAGGTCTGAAGAACTGAATATTTAAAAATTGAAAGTTACATTATTTTTTGTAGTTTGGCACAAAAATGAAACAATGACCCGTTCCCTGCAGGTCATCGAGGTGGTCCTCCCCATGCTGTGCAACTACTTGTCCTACTGGTGGGAGAAAGGTCCGGAAAACTCTCCACCGGACACTGACTGCTGCACCATGGTGACCTCTGAACACCTCAGCATCATTCTGGGAAACATTCTGAAGATCCTCAACAACAACCTGGGCATCGAGGACGCCCCCTGGATGAAGAGGATCGCAGGTGAATTCATCAAGGCTGTAAGGCAGATTAGTGAAAAACAGYGCTTGAACAAAAGCAAAATAACACAAATCTGCTTTATTTTAGGAGCTCCCTTCCACCTTTCCACTGCTTTTATTGTCTATTATTTATTGTGTACTTTTCTGACATTTTACAGAAAAAAACAACTCAGATAATAAGACTGTTCAGATCCATAAGACTCATCTAAGTGAGGGGAATATAGCTTTGTTTAAAGTGTTTTTATTGTATATTAAAAATTGCTTTAAAGTATTTTACAGCCAGTATTCTCCAGGTACATTTAAATACATTTCATGTCTTTAAAACCGGATGGATTTTTTTAATTATTATTTTAAATCCAGACATTAATGTCCCCTCTTCTGTTTCCAGTCTACTCTCAACCAATCATCTGCAAAGCTGGAGCTGATTTGTTAAGAACCCACTTCCTGCCCACACTGGAGAAACTAAAGAAGAAGACGGTGAAGGTGAGCTCTGAAACTTATTGTTATTATTATTATTATTATTCTTAGCACCACATCCATTAAAGAGGGCGGTGAAATATTATCTGAATTGTAAGAAATCAATGTTTTTGTTGTTTCTGTGCTCAGGTGGTGTCAGAGGAGGAGCAGCTGAAGGCCGACAGTAAAGGAGACAACCAGGAGGCAGAACTGCTCATCCTGGATGAGTTTGCTGTTCTCTGCAGAGACCTTTACGCTTTTTATCCCATGCTCATTCGTTATGTGGACAATAATAGGTAAAATATACACATTTAACACAAATCAAGTGCATTTTTTGTTTTGTTTTTGATGAATGAAACCCCAACATAAAATAAAAACAAAACCTGTTGGTGGACCTCAGATCCAGGTGGTTAAAGGAGCCGGACGCAGACTCCACTGAGCTCTTCAGGATGGTGGCTGAGATCTTCATCCTCTGGTGCAAGTCTAACGTATGTCCCACTGCTGGATCCGTCAYGGTGTTTATTCTGGTATCAGATCAACACTTTGCTTTTTGTGTGCTGCTGCAGAACTTCAAGCGAGAGGAGCAAAACTTTGTCATCCAGAATGAGATCAACAACCTGGGCTTCCTGACCGGAGAGGGCAAAACAAAGATGTCTAAGGTGAAGATGTAAACGTGATGTTTTTACACCTGGAGCTCTCCTGGTTTTAATCTCTGGACTGTCCTGTGTGTCTGTAGTCTGGTGGGGACCAGGAGAGGAAACACAAACGCCGTCGCGGTGAATATTACTCAATCCAGACGTCGCTGATCGTGGCGGCTCTGAAGAAGCTGCTGCCTATCGGCCTGAACATGTGCACCCCAGGAGACCAGGAGCTCATCTCTCTGGCCAAGATACGCTACAGTCTGGTGAGCCCAAGTCCAAAACGTTTGACAAATGTTTAACAGATTATTATTTTTACAAACCTTCAGCTCAGATTATTTCAAGTCCTTGAGCAGACAGATGGTTTTATTGAAGTTGGGTGTAGTGCCTTGCTAAGTGGCAAACGTTTGAAGTTCTATAATTTAATTAAATTAATTAATTAAAGTAACATTTAGCTGCAGATTCATGTTGTGCACCATGTTTGCTCCTCACAGAAAGATACAGACGATGAAGTGAAGGAGTACCTGCATCAGAATCTGCACCTGCAGGAAAAGGTAAGTTACTGTTCAGAGCTTCAATCAGGAGAACAGAATAAAACATTATTTATACCGTACAACAAAATAYTGAGTTCAGGTTAGTTTGTAGTTGTGTCTTTATTGACCTGAGTGTTTTTGTGTTTGCAGTCTGATGACCCGGCAGTTTATTGGCAGCTGAACCTTTATAAAGATGTGGTGGTGAAGAGTGAGGGACCGGCAGACTCGGAGCGCACAGTGGACAGAATCCAGAGCATCTCTGCTGCAGTCTTCCATCTGGAGCAGGTAAGACACTGTTTTCTTTTGTTCAGGATAAAAAAGATCTGATATCAAACCTGGAAGAGACCAACTCCAGTGTTTTTCAGGAATAAAACTAGACTATAATCATCTTGAGGAAGSTGATAAGATATTTGCAGTTGGGCGACTGTCTGTAAATATTTTAGTCATATTTAAAAATGTTTAACTTTACAGAAAACCTCCCTACAGAAATACATTTATATCTTTTCAATTCCTTCAAATATATTAATAAAAATCTACTTTTGCTTTATTTTTGTCTTGTTATGCTCATTTTAACTCTTAGCTAGTTTTAATACTTTTAATTACTCTTTAGCTGCTTTGAGTTTTAGCTAGCCTTTGGGCACTTTTATGTTTTAGCTAGTGTTTTGTTACTTTTATTTTTAACTAGCATTTTTAGTTTTAAGCTAAAAGACTACAGTATAAACTTTACTTTTTAGCTAACTTTAATGAAACTTTTAGTTAGCATTGGTTGCTATTAGGTATTAGCTGCTTGGTATTTTTAGCTTCTAGGTATTGTTTTGCTTCTTTTAGTTTTAACCAGCCTTTTGGCACTTTTTAGTTTTTACTTAGGGTTTTGCTACTTTTAGTTTTAACTGGCTTTTTTTTTGCTAGCCTGGGGCTACCTTTAGCTTTAAGCTAAAAAGAGCATGTTTTTTACTTTTAGCTAATTTTTAATGTAGCTTTGAGTTAGTTTTAAATAGTAATAGCTACTTATTGATGCGTTTAGCGTTTAGTTATCATATTGCTTTAGCCAGATTTTTGCTACTCTTAGCTTTCAGCTAGCCTGTTGCTACCTTTAGCTTTAAGGTAAAAAGAGCATAAATTTAGCTTTTTAGTCAACCTCTAATGTAGCTTTGAGTTAGCATATTTTTTAGCTTCTGTTTAGCTCTTCAGAAACATTTGCATTCACACTGCGCTTTTATTTTCTATGTTTACAGCATTAGTCCTGACAGATTTACAGCAGAAGTTTATTTTATAAAGAAGGTTAGGAGTTTTAATTATTTTTGATCCTGAAACATTTGTTCCACCTCAGGTTGAACAGCCTCTGAGGAACAAGAAGTGTGTGGGGCAGAAGCTGCTGTCCAAACAGCGTAAACGAGCTGTGGTGGCTTGTTTCCGCATGGCTCCACTTTACAATCTGCCCAGGTGAGAAGTTTTAATAATATTATTTATTTCAGTATTTTGTTAAGTAGTGCTTTGTCTAATCCTGTTTAAATTCACCAAGTAGACACGAGGGGTTTTTCTTGTTTGCCCTCGTAAAGTCCTCCTCACCTCTCTACTGACATTCTCTCCTCTTGTGTTCTTGTTTAACACTGCCTCACCCTCCCTCAGATACAAAAATAATAATTACTTCCTGAACGGCTATCGGGAGGTTTGGCTGGAAAAGGCGTTCAAAGCCTCCAGCTTTGACCGCCTGTTCTCCCTGCTGACGGTAAAGTGACACTGCGGGATGAATGCTTCACATTTTCAACCTCACACTTTCTCATCTGCCAAACTGTGAACCGACCTCTGCCTTTTAGCCAACTGTTCATTCTGATTGGTCCACAACAATGAGCTTGATGATTGGTTAAAACCTGGGAAAACTCCTGAATTGAAGTTTCAGTTGCAGTGGGGGTAAAACAAAATGATAAAACACAGTTGAGTTGTTTTTGTTTGTAGTTTCTCCTGTTAGGATTTCATCTCACGTTGTGAGAGAGGTTCGCACAGTTTCCCAACACTTGATTGACAAATGCTGTTTGGAAACTGAGCAACATGAAAACCTGAACCGTGACCAGTCAGAAGAGCCAGTGGATCCCACATCGACCAATCACCACCCTGCTTGAAATGCACTTCCTGTAACCTTTTCCTCCCTTTACATCCGTCCTTCCTGTGTCCTGGAAAACAAACACAAACACACAGCAGAAATCACCCTAATGCCACTGTCCCTCCCTCCCATCCTCTTCATTCCTCCCCACCTCCCCTAACCTCCCCCTCCCCAGGCATCGCGCTATCAACCTCTTCATCCCGGCCTATGAGAGACTTTGGATAGAGGCAGAGGAGTACTCTTTTGAGGAGAAGCTAGTTCAGGATCTGGCAGTAAGTACCGGGCTCGCCTTGCCCCCGCGTCCTGCGCCCTGCGTTGGCGCCCCGCTGCCAGTCCTGTCTGCAGAAAGCTTCTTCGGCTCTGCGCCCGTCGAGCCCTGGGAGCGGGGGCCCGGCTCGGAGCGCCCGGGGGCGGCGGCCCTCGCTGTAGGCATGCTAAGCCCCTCAGAGAGAGATCCGTCAGGAGTCAGAGGCTGCATGAACACCTGAGGAGACGCAGGGCCAGCTGCAGCGCTCACAGCTTTAGAAAAGCAGGAGGGATTTCACTACAAGTAGGAGAGTGTCACTAGCTGTTTGAGAGGCGGAGCCAAGCCATCAGTTGTCTTTTCACTGTACTCTGTAAGTGTGTGAAGGTGGCGTCACAGTGACCGTACTGTCAGTGGCATGCTCCTGTAGTCCTGTGAAGATCACATCTCATTTTAGATGTTGTAGTTGTTAATGTTTTTCAGTTGTCCTCTAATAGATTCAGCTTTATTTGCAGTCAGTCACACATATTTATGGGAGGAGTGGAAAGCTGTCAGATGAAATGCTTCAGTAGTTTTTGTCCCTCCCTCTGAGGCTCATTGTTCAGAGGAAGTCAGCTTTCTGCTTGCATCTGTTTGCTGCAGCATGACCCACTGTTTGACCTCACTGTCCTGTCCTCTCCACAAATCACCAGAAACACACAAGAAAAACTAAATCATCTGCATGCTAGTGCTTTCAGTGTTTTTTCAGTACGTGTGTAAGTGTGAAACTGTTCCTGAAAACGGTGCATTTTTAAGAGTTCTGAAAAAGTCGGGACATCTGCAAATCTCACAAACCAGCATTTTCTTCACATTGAAACACAGTAAACATATCCAATGTTAAAGTTGATTTATTTTATGGTTTTAATGGAAGAAAATAAGGGCATTATTAAAAAGATGGCAGCAAAACRTTTTTATAAAGTTGTTTAGAAGATGGATTTTTAATTTCATAGTTTTTAAATATATTCAGTGTGAAACGCAGGCAGCTCAGTTCCAAGTTCAAGTTTATTTATACAGCTCCAAGTCACAACATCCGTTGTCTCAGGRCACTGTAGATAAAAAGAACAATGTAAAGAAGAAAGCAGCAGRTTRYGYTGARTCACTTCATCACAGTCTCCCATCCTGAGCAAACGGTGGAGAGGAAAAACTCCCTGCTAATCAGGAAGAAACCTCCAGCAGAACCAGGCTCAGGACAGGAGACCATCTGCCTGCCTTGTCTTGAAGCAAGAGAAAACAAGACACAGGAATCTTTCTGTAAAACAGATTCACACCATTTGAAGAAGTTTATGAGAAAAAAAGTTCATTTTTTGGCCCCAAGCAAGAGAGCCGAGACCTGATTCAGCCCAAAACTAAAATGAGTTCCGTTCTTTCTGACCACTGTTAGCTTCAAATATTTGACTCTGTTCAGAACATCTCACTGGGCTGCTGAAAGTGATGATGGAGGACCTCAGTTTAGCTTGTTAGCTTTTGCGCTAGCACCAAGCTAATACATATATAAGGAAATATAATAGCGTTGGTGCTAAAGCTAACAGGCTAATCTGAGGTTGTTCTTCCATGAAGCAGCTCTGTTGTCCTCCATCC